AGAATTTCTTGGGACACCTGGGTGACTCAGGTGGTTAAGTGCCTGACTCTCGGTTTCGGCTCAGGTCATAATCTCAGTGTTGTGAGATCAAGCCCTGTGTCAGCTTCTATGTTCAGCCCTGGAGTCTGGTTGAGATTCTCTGCTTTTCCGCTTCCCTCTGCCCCTCCCCACTCCTGTACACACAGGCGTGCTCTCTCTCTTTAATAAATAAATAAAATGTTTTTTAAAAAATTAAGAAAATAAAGAACTTCGTAAAATTTTAAACAGAAAAATTAAAGAACTCCTAAACAGTAATAAGAAAAAGACAAACAGGGGCACCTGGGTGGCTCAGTTGGTTAAGTGGCAGGTCATGATCTCAGGGCCCTGGGATTGAACTCCGCATCTGATCTCTGCTCAGCGGGGAGTCTGCTTCTCCCTCTCCCTCTGTGCTGCCTCTCCCTCTCTCGCTATCAAATAACTAAAATCTTTAAAAAAAAATGAAAGAAAAAGACAACCTAATAGAAAAAATGGAAAAGTAGAAAAAAAAAAAGAAAATACATTTTTAAACCATACTAAGATTCTATTTAACACTCACTGAATTGGCAAAACTTGAAAAGCCTTGGCCAAGATGTATGTCATTGGGAACTTTTATACATCACATGTAGGAGTATTAATTAGTACAATCACTTCATATAATGATTTGACATTTTCTTGAAAAATCAAAGATGGGGATCCTGGGTGGCTCAGATGGTTAGGCATCTGTCTTTGGCTCAAGTCATGATCCCAGGGTCCTGGGATCCAGCCACGCATTGGGCTCCCTGCTTGGTGGAAAGCCTGCTTCTCCCTCTCCCACTCCCCCCTGCTTGTATTCCCTCTCTCGCTGTGTCTCTCTCTGTCAAATAAATAAATAAAATCTTTTTAAAAAAATCAAAGATGCACATACTGAATACCCAGCAATTTTACTCAGTGTGTATACTAGAGAAATTTCTGTATTTTTGTACCAGCAGATACGTTTATGAATATTCATAGTAGCATTATTCAAAAATACAATTTATTGAGATAAAATTTACATATAATAAAATACTCTCATTTTAAGTATATAGTTCAAGGTTTGACAAATGTTTACACAAATGTAACTAGATAACCACAACCAAGATATAAAATTTTCCAACACCCGCAAAGGTCCCTCTTTCTCCTCTGTATAAGGACCCTTCTCCCGCTATCAATATACTTTTCTATTTTCTAGGATTTCATATAAATGGAATAATGAACTATGTAATCATTTGTATCTGGCTTCTTTCCCTTGACATAATGCACTTGAGATTCATTTTGTACATGTTGTTTGGATCAGTGTTTTCTTGCTTTTTGTAGCTGAGTAGTATTCTGTTATATAGATATGTCAGGAATTGCTTTAATATTCACTAGTTTTGGGCTTTTGGATTGTTTCCAGTTCTTGGCTATTACAAATAAAAAAGCTGCCATGAAAATACATGTACAGGTATTTCAATTTTTCTTTTTTTTTTTTAAGATTTTATTTATTTATCTGACAGAGAGAGACACAGCGAGAGAGGGAACACAAGCAGGGGGAGTGGGAGACGGAGAAGCAGGCCTCCCGCCAAGCAGGGAGCCTGATGCGGGGCTCGATCCCAGGACCCTGGGATCATGACCCGAGCCGAAGGCAGACGCCTAACGACTGAGCCACCCAGGCGCCCCTATTTCGATTTTTCTTGTGTAAATTCCTAGGAGTAGAATTATTGTGTTATATACTAAGGGTATATTTAACACATAAGAAATATAAATCTGTTTTCCAAAGTGGTTGTACTATTTTACATTCCCACCAGCAATGTATGAGGGCTATGGTTCATAGCGGCATTATTCATTACAGCAAAAATAGAAACAACCCAAATGTTTACTGTCAGAAGAATGAATAAATTGTGGTTTATTCATTCAAAAGAATACCACAGACAATTAAATTAACCATAGCTATATGCAGCAACATGACTAAAACATTAAAAAAGGCTAGTCATAGATGAATACATAAAGTATATTACCTGTATATATATACATGTCTAAAGTATGCCAAATGAAACAATGTTATTTAGACATATATACATTTTGGAAAGACTTTAAGATAAAGTAAAGGAGTGATAACCACAAAATTCATGATAGTGGTTAACCTCTGGGAAAGGGTATGTAGGGATGGAAAGGGATAGGGTGCTTGCAGATATTGGTAATATTGGTAATATTGGTATTGGTAGTATTGATATTGGTAATATTGATATCATTAATTTGCACAATAGATACATGGTGTTTATTATTCTTTAACTGGCACCAACATTTTACATACGTTTATATATGATAAAGTTTTATAACAGAAGTTAAAAAAGAAAATAACGATAGTTGATGTTTCTTTAGTCTTACTCTCTGGTTTTCTTAAGAAAAAAAAAATTGACTTGAGCATTTGTCCTATATTGTAATATATTTTCCTAATTCTATTTAGTATTCTGTACACTTATGCTGGGAGATTGCAGTTATAGTATGGGAAGAATTCTGGAATGCATTTCTATCTATGGGAGTAAGAATTTAGATATCTGACTCCCAACAATATTAATAGCAGTAATTAAATTCATATATCCTTGTTTATGGAGATGAGAATATAGCTCACCTGATAACAAAAATGATTGAATAGAATTCATTATTTCTTAAAATTATACCAGGGAAGGATATATCTTCTATTTATTTCCTTTCCAATTGAATTATTTAAAACTAAGGTTTAAAAGCCATCATAAAATGACCTCATTTTATATAAGGGATATAAATATAAAGGATATATCATTAGTTCTAGAAAGCCTGGATGGTCACTTATTGGATAAGAGGACAGTAATACAGACAGTAAAAACTTCTCTCTCTCTACTTCCCTATCTTGGTTGTATCATAGGATTACAAGTTCAAGAAATGGAAAATTTTGTAAGATCAAAAATGCCAGGGAGTAAAATGGAAACATGGCAAGAAATGTTTTTGTGTGTTTTGGTAGTGTAAAAAAACCATAGGTTATAGAGTTCCATCCGATGGTAAATTTCTATGTCCTTCCTGACATTATTACCAAAGACAGTTCTTTTAAAAATTAGTTATAATTTGATCACAACTTTGTCTATAAATATATTAAGACATAAAATTGTGGGTTTGAGTAAAATACCATCTTCTCCCCCAAAAAAACCTTTATAGCAACTCAAGTATGAAATGTGTTTATCGCTGGAAATCACATGTGAATTATTACAGAAACAACTTCAAATGTAGAGGGCTGGTAATAAGCCTCTAATTTTATTAAATAAAAATATAATCATGAGCAATGAGACACTTATGGAATTACTATTAAAGTACAAATTCCACACATAAAAAATTCTTTAATATCAACCAACTGCCTGGTTTTCTCTTAAGATTGAACTAAGTTCTATGACTAAGAGTGATCGTAAGAACTAAAGTGATTCATTGTGCTCCACATTATTTAGAAAAATTACAAAATTTATTTTGCCCTATATGATTACACAAGAAATGGTAAAGAAAGCCACGTAAAGGTGCAATTGAGCATGTAAGTTATTTTCTCATACTAGCAAATGATTGTCAGACTAGGGATACCTGAGACAAAGGTTACCTATTCCTTAAATGATATTACTGCTAAATAGGGATTTTCAATTTTTATACAGTGAGCTTTAATTACTTGTATGAATTGAACAACAGATAATCCTACCCTAAAGGAAGGGTATGGGATTTGAATTATTAATTTTCACTTTGGAATGTAGGTTCAAATATTTTTAAAAAGATTTATTTACTTATTTGAGAGACAGAGAGCGTGAGCGTGAGTGGGGGGAGGGGCAGAAGGAGGGAGTCTTCAAGCAGACTCTGCACTGAGTGTGGAGCCCAATGCAGGGCTCGATCCCCCGACCTGAGCAGAAACCACGAGTCAGTCGCTTAACTGACTGAGCCACCCAGGCATCCCTACAGGTTTGAATTTTAAATAATATACATTTGTACACACTTCAAAAGTGTTCTCATATGTACTATACCACCTGATGCTATGATAACTGTATGAGGTTAGCAGGATCTAGAGTTACTATCTCTATTTTGCTGATGAGAAAACAAGACTTACAGAGATAAAGTAAATTGTCCAAGTATCTTGCCTGATGACAGATATAGCAGTAGAGTCCTTATCTTTTATTTTGAATGCAGTGTTCTTCCTTTTGTATCATCATTTCCATACCTGATGTTTGTCTTCAGACAAAAATAAAAATTATGATGTCGTCCAGTTAAATTTCATCTTTGGAGGTTCAGGTAGGTTGAATGATGGCTACCAAAGATATCCTGTGCTAAAGGCTGGAACTTGTACCTGTTACCTTACAAGGAAAAAAGGTCTCTACAGGTGTGGTTAACTTCAGGATCTTGAGATGGGGAAATACTTCTGCATTACCCGGGTGGAACCTAAATCCAATCACAAGTGTCTTATATAAGATGGTTATAAGAGAGAGGCAGAGAGAGATGACTCAGAAGAGTAGAAGACAGAGACACAGAGGAGAAGGGAATGTAACCAGAAAGTCAGAGATTGGAGTGATATGGCCACAAGCCAAGGAATACCAATAGCCAGCAAAAGTTGGCAGAGGGGCAAGGAACAGAGTCTTCTCTGGAGCCTTCCAAGGGATGGTGGTCATGCAAACATCTAGATTTCAGGCCAGCTAAATTGGTGTTGAACTTTGGCCTCTAGAACTTTCTCAGGAGAGAATGGTGAAAATGTTAGGGTTTCCAAGAACATCTCTAGTCCTCTTCTCTGAAAATTAATAGGGAATGTTTACAAATCTTTAAAAGAAATATTTAAATGAAGATGTTATTAATTCATATAAAAACAATCTTGTCACTGACAAGCTGAAATATACTGTATCCACCTAAGAAAAACTGAGAGCTTATTGTGTGTTTATTGGAATGACAAAACCTCAGAATATAATAGTAAATAATTTTTTTTTCCTTTATAGGAAATATATTGGAGCTATCATGTCTGGAAGTGTGTTTGCAACCTAATTTCAACTATTCACTCCGCTCTTTAAATTTTTCTTTTGTGGCTTTTCTGAAACCAGTAAGAGAATCTCAGACTATTATGGGCATCTTTTTAAATCACTCCAACTTTCAAAACTTCACCAGGATTTGCCAAGGCATCACAAGTGAATTGAAAATGTGCTCCTCATGTTTAGCTTGTGAGTCCAAAAAACGTCTGGATTTTATTTCTCAGGAACAAACATCAAAAGGTAAATGTAAAGTGATAATAAAGTTTATCAAGAATAAATTACCTTAGTCTGTTAAAAAAGTAATAATATATTCCAATTTAAAATCCAATGGTATCAAAACCCTCAGCAAGTGTGGCTTTTGATGAATGACTTGTAGGGCTTTGGGATATTACTTATTCTTGGTTTACTTTATCAAAAAAAAATCTACTTTTGAAATACATCAAAATGCCACCATAATTTATGTACATTCGATGGTTAAAAGAGTAGTTAGCATGCTCTCTTCAAAGGTATTGAAGTTTTAAAAAGTAAAAAAGTAAAATCAAAGTTGGATTTTCTAAGAAATCATTGAATCATTGACACATTTGTACCTTCTCCTGCCTAACATGTATCCACTGTATTTGAATTGCCTTTTTACTTGTCTAAATGTCCACTCAATGTTGGGGACTTTGTCTTTGTTCACCATATTTCTAGATCTTAGCATAATGCCTGACATCAGGCACTCAATATATATTTCTTTAATGAATAAACAAATGAAAGAATAACTATGTATTATGTGTAATGTGTAACTGAATCTTGCATCTATTTTGAGATCAATATATATTATTTAATTAAATCAAATCAACTTGCATCATTGAGAAATTAAATAACTCATTTGTAGTCAGAAAATACACTAGTGGCCTCAGGCCCAAGCATCAAATTTATTATTTATAACCCATTTGGTGAGATTGCTTCCTGTATCACACCATATTGGCATCTTTCCCCATTCTTTCAGAATGGGAATGAGATTTCTTGGCATTGACTTTGGATGAAATATAAAAGATCTATCTTTTTCTGGGTTCTTACTTAAGTAGTGCTGTAGCTGTTGCAGGGTTCTGGGTCAAATTCACCAGAAAGCAAGTTGGGGAAATACCTTTATGGTGATAGAGAACTAGGAAGTGTTTTAAGGCTTGGTAACTCCAGATGCTATTTCTCTGCCTCCTGGAAATGTAGGATAGCGCATTGATAAGTTATGTCTGTTACTATGTCTGTGTAACATACTACCTTGAAACTCAATGGCTTAAAACAATGGCAATCATTTCATTCTTTTTCTTCCTTTCCTTGTGTTCTTTCTGCCCCTGCCCCTCCTCTTCCTCCTCCTCCATCTCCTTCTTCTCTGGTTGGCCAGGACTTCAGAATGGGCGTAATGGGGGCATTTCTGGCTTGGAGCATTATAACCTGTCCCACAGATCATCAGGGAAATGTCTATATTTTCTTTGAGATGCTCCAATTCTATTTCAACCCCACTATTATCTGGTTTTCACAATCTTAAAAATTGTAGGCACTTCAATCGTTATTTTTAGTGCAGTGAACTTCTTATTTTGACTTTTTTTTTTTGTAGAGGAAGGATGGTATTTAGTTTTGAGTGGTGTGCGTTTTCTTACTATGCATTACTATTTTGCAAATAACATTTTCTTAATCTCTTTCTAGTTCTTATCATGAAAGGATCAACGGAAGTGAAGGCAAATGATTTTCGTTCACCTTGTCAACATTTTAACTTCACTGTAGCTCCTATAGTTGATCCCTTGGAAGAATATAACATTACTTGTAATCTAAAAACCCACATGAGAAGGCCAGCAATCATGGAGGAAGATTCACCCAAGGAAAAGTCTATGAACCATACTTGTAGGACTATGGAACACCTGAATAATTGTACACGTATTTCCTTGCACCTAGAAATGGATGTCAAAAGTAAGTATTTAAGGAAGTTAGAGGAAAAAGAGAATTGGAAACAAAGTTAAATAAAGGCTAACACATTAACTTCATTAAAAGTTAAATATTTGAAAAATTTTGTTGTTGCAATAATATGACTGGGAAGAATGCTAGTCCTTTTATCTGTTCATTTTTTCTTTCAAAATCTGCTTTTCCTGAGGCCTAGCTGGACACAGAAGCAGAGGAGGCATCTGTGGGTTGTGATTTGAGGGACACTAGAAAGACCTCAGAGTAACTTTGGACATGCCTATTAGCTGTGCTTGAAGCAACACTACCACACCTGGGTATTAAAGGGTGAAATTTATTTTTAAATATAAATATCCACGTACATTGTGATGGGCTATTAAAATCATATTTTGAATTGACTTATATCTTCTCCTAGAGTCGAGAACCAGGACTGAATAAAATGGGATTTTTGATATAAAGCCATGGAGATAGGCAGGGTGCAGATGAGGCACTTTGGGTCACTGGATAGGTCTGAGGCAAAGGTAGTCATCCAAAAGATCAAAATCACATCTATCTTACTTCTAAAGCTTATTAGCTTCCTCGACACCCTCTTCAGAATTACCACAGTTGATCCTTTCTACTAAGCGGTGTGTCCCACTTTACCTAGAAAGTCTATTTTGGAAGAGTATTTTATGATATAACCACTTAATCCGTGCCTACTGTATGCCAAGCAATATGCTAGCATTAGGGATCCAAAAACAGATGAATGTAAAACAATTGAGCATGTGCATCCGGTGTTAACAGGTGCAATGGTAGAGTCGGTTGCTGGGCTTTGGGATCTTCCAGACATATGGAAACCTTTCCTATTGCCTTAGAATGCTTTTTTTTTTTTAAAGCTTTACTTTTTTTAAAGGTAATTATTTAAAAAATATTATAATTTCAAGCAAATACAACCAAATAATATGTATGCATTTTTACAGTAAAATAGAAGGCTTCAGAGGAATTTCACTTGTGAGTCAGTCTTCAGGGCCCCACGGGCTCTGCAATTAAGGGTTATTTCAAGGTGTGTGTATGTGTGTCGGGTATGGGAGAGGATCTGAGAAGATCTGAACAGAGAGGTCAATTCCCTCGGGCTCAGGAGTGAGTTGGAAAGTAGACTTTGGAAGGATGGCATAGAGAAGGTGATGGCGATGAAGTCTGGAAGATAAAGTGGGTTGGATTATAAATATTAAGATCATATTTATTTCCATGCATCCATCTAATTGCTTTTTATGTTTTCTAAAACATAAAGGAAAAAGAAGCATTTCCAGAATTATGATTTTCAGAGAATTTTTTGGGTCAAGAAAAAAATCCATACATGCTAGTCAAAGTGAAATAGTAGGTAACAACTTCCTTGGGTCCATAATTCAGAAAGATCACAGTGACACACATATATATAGTCTTGTATTCTAGAAAAATTATATCCATTTGCCACGTGTAGAAGATTTAAAATTTCCTTATATTTTACTCTGCTGGGCAGAGACTAAGTCGATCTCCCTTAAAAGCCCTATCCAGCAGGGGGTGAAAGTAAATTTAGTCCAATCTGGTAAATTTACTCTGGAACAGTAATTTAAATTGTCTCTTCAGATTTTTTTTTCAGATTCCTGTCTGTTCTCCCTTGCTCCTCTCCAAGATGACTGCCGGGATGGGGGGTAGGTGGGCAGCTGGGCTGTGGGGACACATACTCTTCTGCATTTGCACTAGTGCTTGGGTGGGTGTTCTGGCTGGCCTGACCCCAGCTGTGCACATTCTGCTGTTGCTATATAAAGTTGGTGAGTGCATAGTTCTTTTTTCATAGCTTGATCATCAGTGCCCAATGACACCTTGGTCACTGGGCCCACTGTGGCTCTTGCTGGCACTCTAAGTCTTCTATTCCAGTTAATGAACTGCATACTTTTAATTTGCTGAGCGAGGAATGCAAGTTTGCAGCTGAATAGCATGGGATGATTTTGGGAAGGCTGAGTGCTGCCATCCCAGTCAACTTTTACCTTTTCTGCATTCTGCCTCTTTTCTAAGTAAATGTTGGATGGCTATATAATGTACAGCTGCCCATGGGGGCGGGTTCCTGTGAAAGGGGTACCCAGATGATGAACCTCACAAGGGCAATAATCCAAGGGTATAAGCAAGTTATATATCCTGCTAACTTTGAGAAAGTGCTGTGTTTTGTGTACAAGGAAGAGGGTACATAGGGTGGCTTGGGAAGACAGTAGACAGTTATGTCTTGGACATGATGAGGTCACCTTCCATTATGTCACTGATTCCTAGGTCTGCTGGCCACTGTATTTTTATGGGAGCAAAGGAGATGGTGCTAAACGATTGCTGGATGGGGACTATCCCTCCCATGTGCCTCACTGTCATTTGAATGAACAAGTTTTTACCTAGGGTTACTGTGTGTTTAATGAATGTGTGCACCTGATCTGATCCTTGCAGTGAGAGTCTGTGCAGAAAGGAGTTCTGATTATTCATCTGCATTGGCCTTTTATATGCCTCAGCCCAACCTTTTCTCTTTGTATGTCTTTTTTCTTTCCTCTCCATCTTCCTTACACTCCTATCTCTTTGTCGATTTGAGGGCATAATTTTTGACTGTGTGGCCCAGGGCCACCGTTGTTATTTACAAATGGCCCTGATTCTGAGACTCAGCTTGTTGTAATCTTAGCTTAGTGATAGCAACCACAAGGAAACTAACACCTACATGACTTATAAGTGAAATTAATCCTAGAATCTTGGGATCAAAGGGATCCCTGGAAGATCCCTGGTCAAATTTCTTCTTTTAATACACTCACTTAACATATCAGGGAAGAAATCAGGAGGGCAAACGACACTATAACAGGGATGATTATATGTGGAGCTTTTCAGTTAAGGCCAAAATATGTAGTAGAACACAACCACATCACCATATGGCTTCTCTCTGTTGCATCATTTTATTGTATTTTTATAGTATTTTTTTCTTTGCAGATTTCACTTGTTCCATGAAGATCACTTGGTATGTTTTAGTTCTAGTCGTTTTTATATTTTTTCTCATCCTCACTCTCCACAAAATACTTGAAAGCCACAGAAGAATGTGGAAATGGCGGAGTAAGTATTGAGGAATAAATCCATTGCTTGGGACAGTCCAGTTAGGATCTTCTCTATAGATGTACGTTCTTTTTCAAGTTCAATTTATCATTTATTGAGCACCTGCTGTGTGTAAGTGGCAGTTCTAGGTAACCCGGGGAATATAAGCATAAGTGAGACACAGTGTCAGCATTCAAGGAGGTTCATGTGTTTTTGTCTACTTAGACAAGCGAATAGCAGGGGAGGCGGGGCAAGGAGCTGAAGGGGGCTGGAGGTTGAGCAGAGGCTTAGTGGAAGTGAAGGGAGAAGAGAGGTAGAAGAATAGGGTGGTGATCAAGAATTTCAGAGTGGGAGATCATGAACAGAGTGGCTCTAAGTGATGAGTGGGAGGAGTCAATCTTTAATAGGTGTAAGGGTGTCAGTAGATTTTTGGCGGGGTGGAGCTATAATGTATAATTGGAAATCAGACAATGGGGGTGATATTAAAAATATTTAGTATGACCCAGGCATCCACCTATCAGGATGGACATTGACTTATGGCCCTAGTGGTGTGTACCCACGCATATACCAAACCCTCTGGTGTGTAACCCATGCGTATACTGGCTGAACATCAAACCTGAGGAAGAAGCAGGGAGGGGTAGAGGGCGAGGGAGAGAGAGACTCTTGAGCAGACTCCACGCCCAACACAGAGCCCCACACGGGGCTCCATCTCATGACACTGAGATCTCAGACCTGAGCCAAAATCAAGAGTCGGACGCTTAACTGACTAAGCCACCCAAACGTCCCTGTTGCAGGTATTTCTAAGAGCAGTTTCATATCAAGTCTTGCCATTGATACCTTAGAATATAAGGCTAATATATAATAACATCATCAATATTATATATTTGTAGAATAGCCATTTTCACAAGGTTTTTTTTTTTAAATTAGATTCTCCAAGTACTTAAACAGGGTGGGTACTATTATTTTCACTTATAGATGGAAAAAACCCCTGAGCCATAGAGAGATTAAATGGTTTTTCCAAAGTTATATAGCTAACAAAAGGTCAGAGTCAAGACCTAGGGTCTTTCTAGTTTTAAAAATTATATTAGTTTAAATAAAAATGTTATTTGCAAATGTTGCACATTTTTTAGTTTCTTCATCCATTTTTCCATATAACTGCATATGAGGAAAGAGAGACAGAAGCCAGTTAGAAAAAACCGTCTAGAGGGGCACGTGGGTGGTTAAGTGGCTGCCTTCAGCTCAGGACATGATCCCAGGGTCCTGGGATCGAGCCCTGCATCGGGCTCCCTGCTCAGCAGAGCCTGCTTCTCCCTTTCCCTCTGCCTGCCGCTCTGCCTACTTGTGCTCTCTATCTCTTTGTCAAATAAATAAATAAATAATATCTTTAAAAAATAAAAAGAAAAAACCGTCTAGAAAGCAATAGTGGAGAGTGAACATTTTATGAACATCCACCCAAATGACAGGCTTAGTGGCTTTTGAAGGCTTGCCTTACAAATCCAAGCGTATAAAGTAATGAAACATGTCACACTATTTAGGACATTAAATATTATTAAATATTAAATATGCATTAAATATTCTGTGTATGTCTATGTATCTTAAGTAAGCAATATAATATTCTATACATAAGAGCTGGTGCTTCTCATTAGGGGAGACGGCATGATAGCATTTAGAGTAGTGGAGAAACCACTTGTTTTAGAAAGATCCTGTGTTTGCTCATGGAAAATAACTTCATGAGGAAAGCCCTTAATGTCTTGTTACTTCTGGCCCTGTTGTGAATGGCCCATTTCCCTTGGTAATCCTTTGAATCAACATGGGGAATATATATTAAGAATGTGCTTTTTATCATTTAAATATTTCATGTCTTTTCTTGGAATAGGTCATAAATACAAACCTACCTCTGCTCTTTTTTTTTTTTTAAGACTTTATTTATTTATTCATGAGAGACAGAGAGAGAGAGAGAGAGGCAGAGAGAGAAGCAGGCTCCCAAGGAGCAGGGAGCCCGATGCGGGACTTGATCCCAGGACGCTGGGATCATGACCTGAGCCCAAGGCAGACGCTTAACCATCTGAGCCACCCAGGCGCCCCTACCTCTGCTCTCTTAAGAGGACAGGATTCCGAGAAACTGCGAACATTGAATGTGCGGGTTATTTCAGGTGAGTTTTGTGACGTGCCAACAGAGCATGGCTTTGAGAATCCCAGTCCTTCACCGTTTTCACTATAGACCCAAGATCGAATGATCTAAGCTCATTTAAATTAGCCTTGTATCTGGAAGAAAGGATCTGTGGGCAAATGAAATCTAGTTTAATATGTCTTATTATCAGGGGACAGTTACGATCAAAACTAGCTCCTTAAATAATGGAAAGTTTGCCTAATTGGCAAGAAGAAATTCATGTGAGTAGGCAGAGGAGAGAAAGCAATAAGGAAGAAGCCTCAGATTTATTTTTAAATGAGACAAGATACTATTATTCCTCAGAATTGCAAGAAGTAATTGCAGAGTGGGCATGGCTTTTTTGCTGGAGCTTTCACTTAGCAAAGGGTGTCATTGTGTAACGAGAACTTCTAATAGCCCCAATTAAAAAGTCCCCTGTCCTCTCCCGAGAAACAGAAATGGAAGAAGGGAACCCTAATTAGAGCAGCTAAGGGAGCTGTTAGCACAGACGCTGTGGTTCGATCTCCTAATTGCAAAGCCTCCTTCTGAATTCAAGCTGTCAAATCATATTAAAAAGGAAGAGAGGGAGATTGGGACGCGGGCAAAGTGCTCTTCTTCATCAGGAAGATGTCATCTCCTTGACTCTGTGCAAACCGCGGCATGATGAGTGATGTTTCTACAGCTCCTTGCGTCCAGCTGGTGAGCAGGCTCCTTCAGACTTTGTGAGACGTCAGATAAGGAGGCTTCAGGTCTGGTGTCTAAATGGTTTTCAAAAATGCAAGGACGGTGAACCAAGCCTGAGGCGCCCCCCGCAACTGCATTGTAGCCACGTGCAGATCTGCACACCGTTTCACTGGAACTCTGCTCCCAAGGCTTTTCTTATCTATTTAAATTAGCAGGGACTCAGACCCCTAGCTTGAGGAAAAATGGGATTGCATGCACCTGAAGGACTCAATTTTAAAAAATTCAGACTTTCTGTTCTCCGCGTTAGCAGTATTCACCGATGGCTGATAATAAGCAATAGCTGAGTGATCATTTGATACCAGCTAAATGTGGAGAACGTTGATGGAAGTTTTGTGTGGTCAGTGACAGTTTTGTTTGATTAATGGCATTAAAATCAGAAGTTTCCAATGTTTCCAATGCCCAAATTCATCTTTATAGGGAGAAAACGGCATTTCCCCTGTTCTCCCCTCTTATGTGGGCCCCAGGCCTGACATCCATGCACCAGGAATGTTTCAACCTAGTTCTGCTGAGCTTTTTCAGTGGCCTCGGGAATCCTGGTCCTTGCTCTTTTCAAGACATAATTTTGAGCACTGCAGCTTTGAGAAAAAGTCCATAGTCCCCCTGTCAACTCATATAATCGGGGGAATCACAAATTTAAAGTACTAGTTAACCACAAGACTAACCTCACAAAATGTATTTATGAGCCTTTGGTTTTCATTCACCAGAGGAGACGGACTCGGCCATTAACCTAGATGCAATTTTCCCCCCTCCTGTTATAAGTTGCTCTTTCTGAGAGAGAAATGGGAAGGAAATAATGTCTCCCTCAAGTGCCGTTTTTAAGGTCTCTCTTTGTCATGATCGATTATAGGCCGCAGTGAAAACGTAAGGAGAAAACGTGCCAGCATGGTCCTCTGGCGGAGCAGTAACACGAGTACAAAACACGGTTCAAAGGGAGCAGTGACTACAGTCCCGTTCAGCAAAGCAGCTTTGCTTTGTCGTCTCAAGCTGTACGTTCCAGAATGTCCCTCAGGTTGTTCATGTATTACAAAGGAAGTGTTGTTACACACGTACACATGGAGGTAGACAGGCTCACACCCTCAAAAGGACGAGAGAGAAATAAAGCGAGATGACCCAGACCCTGGCCCCATGTCTCAGATCACAGCGAACATGGGCAGAGTAAGGCATCTCCTCCCTGCAGAAAGCAGTGTCACAAAGAATCAAATCCCAAGCTTTAACAGGACTCCAGTATTTTCTTCCTTGCTTTGAGAAGCGTGCTGGCTTCTGTTGCCTGTCTTGGCGTGAATCTACTTTACATTTTATTCAGTCGACTGTTATCCTCACACAGGTGATGATTCTCTTACCCAGCTTTGGATCCTGGTCCCCAGCATAATTTCTGGCACGTAGTTTGTGCACAATAAAAGCTTGTTAAATCACACAAAGCCTAAGGGGAAATGAGGATAGAGTCAAAAAGAGCAGATGAGCAAGGAATTTATCTTGGGGTTTGGGAAAGATGAAAACAAACAGCCAGAGAGTGATCAGAGGGCACATAACTGGACTTCATTAAAGAATATATAACTCTACAGAGTTGCCAAGGACGTCAAAGAATCATGGAATACATCGACCATCTTGAAGAAGAGATTTGGAGAACTATGCAAAAGTCAATTTGAAATGTATCCCTGGAAACAGTGTTTGAAGGGTTGGTCACGTTGGGAGACCAAAGTCAGGGACAGGAGCAGTGGACTAGGACACCAATCGCTGGATACAAACAATAGCAATCAACTTGGCTGGCTTGGCCGAAAGGAAACCTATTGGAAAACCGGTAGGTAACCCGTAGAAACACCAGGAATGTTAAGCGTTCAGAGGTTGGAAAATGAACAGGAGTTAAAGGGGGCCAGGCAGCCAAGAGTACAGCCAAAGTCACCATGGGAATGGTCTGGTGGTGTCACCACCGCTGGACATTCCTCTGAGCTTCCAGAGCTACACCCTTTGACCATCCAGCTTTGCATCACTGTCCAGGATGGCGAGCCCCAAGGAAGGATATCTGGCTGACTGAGGGCAGGCCACAGATTGGTACTCTGGGTGCCAGGAAGCAGGGAGAGGGAATATCTACCCCTCTGGCTTCCTGCATCTTTGAGAGCACCCCAGAGATGGCCTCATGTTGGAGAGCCAATAACTAAATATCTAGGACACCAAGTATCCAGGACTAGAGCTTCCACTGACTCCTGCTGCATGGGTCAGTGAAGGGGCTCCTTTCATCTCTCCCCTCTATGTCCACTGAACATGGTGAAATCTTGAAAACTTGAAATTCTTCACCTTCAACTACTCAACCAAAATCTGTTGAACCCCAACTCAGGATCAGGCATTATGCTAAGCATTGATATGACAGTGGCCCGGACCAGCACAGTCTCTGCTTTCACGGAGCTGATGTCCCAGTTAGGGAGATTCTCACCCCGCTCCCCGCCCCCATTGCCTTAGAAGAAGGGAAACCTAATTAAACTATACACATTCATTAGGCGACTTTCATAGACAACATTTTATCTCATTTCACAAGAATCTCGCTTTTTTCCTGATGCAAAAACCTGGAACTAAGAGAGTTTAAGTAATTGACCCACAGCCTGTTCCTGGCCGAGTCGGGTTCAAACTCAGGTCTGTGCAGTGGGCTTTCTGGCAGAGCGCTTACGGGCTGTGGTGAACTGGGGAATTTACTTGTGCTGGTTCAAGCCACAGATCAAAACTCACCTTGTTCTTTTACAGTTAACACTGGAAACCGAGATGAAACATTTTCTCTACGCTGTAGAAGGTTGTAGGAGCTTGTGTGTGACAGTGTGAGTCACCCTCAGAGTGACATTTAGCATTAGTGAAATATTTTTTGCAGTTAATGTGGGTAGGTTCTTAGGGACCGCGAAGGAAAGAAAATGGATTTTTATTGTGAAAGAGAATTACTAAATGCCAAAAGGAAGTGGATGACCCAGTAATTTGTATTACCCCAAAATATAACTAATGGCAATGTAAAATTATAATTTGCAACATGTTTACGGCCAGCATAATGAGGACTAAGCCGGTTTCAATTTTCAGCAGGAGAGAAGATAAATTGCTCGTGCCAGATGTCCCACAACCAGGCAAAATAACATGGAAATTTAATTTTTACTTGCTTAACTATAATATTTATGACTCAGAGTACAGATTTGGGTTCATAAAACAGTAAAGGTTGGAGCCATCTGCTTGATTACAGAACAGAGCAGAATGCAGAGGGTGACTTTTTTTTTTTTAAGATTTTTTATTTATTTATTTGACAGAGAGAGAGAGACAGCGAGAGAGGGAACACAAGCAGGGGGAGCGGGAGAGGGAGAAGCAGGCTCCTGGCTGATCAGGGAGCCCGATGCGGGGCTCAATTCGAGGACCTTGGGATCATGACCTGAGCCGAAGGCAGACATTTAATGAACAAGCCACCCAGGCGTCCCTGCAGAGGGTGACTCTTGATGCAGGAAGAATTTCTTAAGTGTGAAGAAGAATCTATAGGCAGAATAGGATGATTTGTTCTAACTCATCCATTGAATGCCGTTATGTGATAGCCTTTTGTGCTAGGTCTGGAAGACCTGATGATAAAACATATACAGATCAACATCTTCTCCAATCTTTGTGCAGATTCTCCCCACATGGAACATCCTGCCTCCCTTACCCCTCCCTGCAGACCTGCCCTCCTCCCACCCTGCCTTTGTCTAGTTCACCCCAAGCCTTGCTTCTGATCTTAGCTTGACTGACCCTTCCTCAGGGAAGTCATATTGGACCTCCTAGACTAGGTCAATCCCCTGCTCACACATCCTCACAACACCACACAGCTCTCTCTGTGCCAATTGTCACTACTGTTATATATTATATATGTGTGTTATTATTGGATTGACGTGGCTCCCATGAGCCACTGAGCCCCTGGAGATCAGGGACTCTGCCTGATAATATTCATCACCGCATCCCCAGCTTGTAGTGCAGTGCAGATGAGGGCACAGGGTAGGTACCTAATAAATATTTGTAAAGTAAATACACCTCTACACGGACTATGCAGAAAGAATGCCTACTGCTGTCTTACAAAGACCCTTCCAAACCTTCCCCCCCAACCCAATTATAACTTTTAAACTCTTCATCAGCTTCATTCCTTGGAGTGCTAAGGATAGCCGCAGTGTGAATGAGCTGGGAGCTGAGACAAGGGCTCAGAATACTGGCAGCTGTCTGTTCTCTTTAGTTGTTAATTCTAGGTAATTTTGCAGTCATGTACTTTCCCACCCT